ACAAGTGATTCATGTCTTATAGTGACTCCTACTGGCTACAGATAAATGTGCTGTGCCTGAACGCCAGAATTAAAAGGGAAAGTAGCTTTATGTCATTATTTTTCAATAAAAATATCAATTGGTATGAAATTCTTAATAGGAAAAAATAACTGCACAGTCCACATCACAGCTATTGAACTGTCAAATGTGAGTTCTCCAAAAAGTCTCAGACTTTGATGTGCTACTCTTCTATGCAAACCTTGATCACTTGCAAGATAACTGAAGATACATGTACTGCCTGTTTCACATCCCGTGCCATTCTGTTTCTTCTTTTTGGGGCTCTCCATGGTGGAAACACTAGTGTACTTAGTATCATTATCTGGTTTGACTACAGCTTTCAAACAGATGGCCTCACATTATCTTCAAGCACTCTTTGAAACGATGCATAATTCATAGTGGAATCAGCTGCTCTGTCCCCGAGGCAACGAATCAAACTCCGAACTATAAGATTTCCCATGTTGCCCACTTACATGGCTAATTTGTTTTCACAGACTACATAGAAAAGGTTGATATAGTTTTTGGATGCCTCATTTTAAGCCATCTGCATTTAGATGACAGGGTGGAGTGTTAATGAGCTAATTCTAGCTGCGTGTATAGATCATGGGAACAATGCACAACACTTGCTAATGTATACAGAGACCAATAAAATGTTACTCATTAAAACTGTAACACAAACCTGTTGAGAGTTCATTACCATACAGCAAAGTTATTTCTAAGATAATTGTGTGAAAATATTCAAAAGTCATCAGCCTCCAACTTTAAGGGTTAAAAATACCTTTTTGTAATTACGCTCTGTAAAATGTAACTTTCTAAACACCAGGGGGCAGAGTTTTACTAATGGCTGTGTTGAAATAGTTTATATTTCTTTTCTTAGCTTTCTACCATAGACTTTGCACCATAGCGTGTGGTCCAAAGGTGTACTTGATCCCAACACAATCTGTTATTTTAACACATGAAGTCCTAGAAGCTATTTGTTTATATTCTGTTGATAGCTTTTGTTGATTTGGATGGTTTCGAACAGGAATTTACAGAATGTACCTGTGAGCCATGTGTGCCAGTCATGGACCTGCAGTTTTTGACATTTTGTTGGATTGTCTTTCTTTGGATTTTGTGAAACGTCATTTATTTGGAATTTGTCCAATAAGAGACCAAATGTCTCTCACACTGGCTTTTTAAATATCCCTCTTTTATGTACCCCAGCCTTATTATTGGCTCCATAACATGTTGCAACAAAGTAAACACAAGCGTGTCCGCATACAGTATCTTAATGCCAGAGCTATGAACTAGATGCACTGTGTCTCCAAGGCAACCTAAATTGGTCTCAGCAGGTATGTGGGCATCATGGTTTTTGCTGAGGACAGAGTGAGCAAGTGAGAATGAAAAACAGGGAGAGGGACGAAAGCATGTGTGTCGGGGGTGGGGGGCAGTGTGGAAAGAAGGAGTGGAAGGCAGGAGATAAGGCTTTGTGAGGGAGAGCAGGAGATGAGAGGTGAAGCTACAGGTTGAATGTGATTAGTAGAAAGCAGCTGCAGGAGGAGGAGGAGGTTAAGGATGAAGGGGGCTGGGGTTGCAGGGTGTGAGTGGGGAAGGCAGTAACAGTGATTGGGAACTAGCATGCTGCTTATTGCATGCCACGAAGAATAAAGTCAGTAACCAGTCTGCAGGATCTGTGCTTGTGTGCGCATTGCAGAAAAAGCTATTAAGCAGTAGCAGCACAGGCTGAGCTAACTAAATTACATCTCCAAAAAGGCAAGATTAAACTTTAGGCTAAATGCTCGTACACACACACACACACCCTGAGACACACATACACACTCTAACACTCATTTACATTGACTAGTGTCTAGATGGCAGAAGGGGTCCAAGAACACAGACGGCCCGTGGGTGAGATGACGCAGACACCTCACCCACACACACAGACACACACATGCTCTGATAACACGTAAATCTAAATATACACATGTACGAAGTCTGTTTCTCAGAATTGTCATATAAGTGACTGAAGTGATGGAAAGCAGAGTGTGTCTTTGTGTGTGTGCGTTCTGTGTTTGTCACAGCTTTCACCTGCATGTGCGTGTTAGGCAGCTCCTTAAGGTGTTGATTGGGGGATGCGTGGATGTATGTGAGCTGAAGTGCGACTTGGGTGTATTCTGCATGCATCCTTTTCTCAGTCCAGGCAGCATCTCTTATTCCCCTCCTGCCCTGTCTGACTCTTTCTCCATTTCCCGTGTCCATCACAGAGATGTCACACAAACCTCTACAGGAAACTGAATGGTTGTTTGTTTGTTTTTAGGTTTGTTTCTCAGTGGCTTTTGCAGGATTTCTACTCCCACAGATCTACAGGGCAAGTGGATTCGAAAGTTAGGATTAATAAAAACATTGCTGAGATGCTACAGCTAGCACTTATCCCTAAACACACCTTCTGTTGTTTCCAAAAATAAAAAAAAGTACAATACAACTGCAGTTTTATTGTGCTATATATATTCTATCAATACAAAGTAGTTTTGGTGACAATGAAGTCACCTTTTTAGTATGATAATACATCTTGCCACAGAGCAAAGAGTTTGAGAGGTTTTATTTATAAAAACAAATCAATTCAGTGAATCAGTCCCAGACAAAACTTATGGTGGAAATTGAGGGGGAAGAAAAGATTTATGACGGGTTCCATCCTGTAAAGCGGATCTGTCTTCTGCTGTTCGAGAAATGTGAACCCATCTGGATGGAAATGGTTTTTTTGAGTCAGCGTAGTCCATGCCTCAAATAATTTAGGCCATTATAAAAGCCAGGTTTGCTATGTTTCATGAATCCAGAACGTTCATTTGTTAAACTAAAAGACTTTTATCTTGTTTTGATTTGGTAAAACTTGCATGCCACTAAAGTGAAAGAGCGATCCGAGTGTGGTGATTGTAGAATTTTCTTTTTCTGTTTGTCAGCAGTTGTTTTGTGTCGGCGTCCACATGTGTGACAGCAGACAAGAGATTGCAGTGCATATTGTAAATGCCAAAAGATATACATGTGTATTTGTTGTGTGTCACTAAGTATGTGCAGTCTGGGCCTTATTTGGACCCTTGTAACACACAAAAGTCACTGAATGCATGAGCGCATGAAGTCTTCACGTTCCACTCCAGCAAAAACGTATCTGAATCAAGAAATGAGCTGGACTTTGTCACACAGTTACTGTGGGATATGACCCCTTGATTCAGTTATTGAAGAATTTATACAATTTCTCTGTGTGTGGTTTTTCCTTTTTTCTTTTTTCTTTAAAAATAAATCTTTCTCATATGTCATGGATTAAATAAAGATCATTAGGTGTAGCCTGTATAGATGGATAAAGGAAGTAAACGCTGCTCTGACGATTCTATCGAATTTTTTAACCTTGATTTGATGAACGACAAACATGTTTGCAATCTAAGGAATAACAGTCATTCTTCTTTATTTGTTCCATATTGACAGATCACCAGAAGTCAATGGAGGGCAGATGTAATAAGAGATATGAAGGATAGAGAACCATGGCCTAACATGTCAGGTTTTAAATTAAATAAAGGTTTGGGATTTCCTGTCCATGCTGAAATATTTAAAAAAAAGTTGAATGTGATAAAGGTCAACCATTAAAATAAAAAAAGTCCAAGTATTTGGAGTGTTACATGTACATTTGTTCTACATGCTGAAGCGTAAAAAGGACCCAGTGCACCCAAGTGTCTTTCCCCTGCAGAGGAGAAATGGGGAACAGAGGACAGGTTTGGAAAAAGAGTGGCGGGGGAGATGTGGCGTGAACAAGAGGCTGTATGAATTATGGTGTGTGTGTGCGTGAACATCCTAATGAGTCACTGTCAAACTAATGTTTGGTTCCAGCAATTAGTCATAATTACTAGAAGTGTATGCATGGCTCACACTGAGGATTATACAGTATATTAGCCGTGAATTTCAGTTTCCCGTTGCTTCTAGGTAAGTAAAGCAGATGTGATTGTGCCTCATAACCTGCCTTGTGTGTGCTTTGTGTTTTGGCTTCGTAGTGCCTCTGTTTCAGTGACATTTCTGTTGTGCATTTAATATTCATTGATCAGTGTAGTCTCATATGTCTTTATCATCTTGCCACGTTGTGTATGAAATCATATTCTGGACACGGGTTGAATGTGACGTTGTAACCTCTGCTATACATGGTTGCCAGTGGTAACAGTGACAGATTTATTCTCATCCCATGTAACATTTCCAACATGTGGCTTCCACGTCTCAGCTAGCTGAGTTTCCATCCCAGTTTTTTTATTTAAAAAGGAAATGGTTTTCAGGTCTAAAAACTCAAGTCAATGCAAGGAAGTCGAAGATTACTCTTTGGTTTCACAGATCTGTCATAATAGGTATTTGTTATTAAGTTGCACCACAAAGACAAAAGTCTATTCAGAATAGAACATCTCATTTGTCTAGAATTTGTCTGCCCATGAATTGACTTTTCACAAGTTTGAAAACCTTACAGCCTTGAAATCTAATTAAAGAATTTATCAGAAGCGCATGTCTCCATGAGCAATCTAACGTGCAATCCAACGTTCTCATGGAGCCCCGAAGAAGTGGTCCTCTATTTTACATTTTCATAGTTTTACGAAGAAAAACTACTTAAAAAAACAGTGTTTCCCATGGCTTGCTTGTTGCTGGACTCTGGGTGGACTTTATATGGATCTTAAATTTAGGAAATTGATGAACTTTTGCCTTTTTTTTTTTTTTTTTTTTATTTTTTTTTTTTTTTTTTTTAATCACTCACCACTAAAGTGTTGTAGCATTTAGGATGAAGTAGTTTTCTGAGCAGACAGCATGTTTACTGGTGCTCAATATTTCAGAAACTGTTGGATGGAAACACAGCTATTATTGGCTAATTTTGAAAAGATTCTGTTTTCCCCGTCCAAATATTAGTGCCAATCTCTGGGTGATGTAGTCCTAACATGTTACCTTGTTTCCTGCCGTCCCTCTAGTCTGCACGGTTCGCTGTCAGAAGTTCCTGATCTCGCGTGTCGGCGAGGACTGGATCTTCCTCATCCTGCTGGGACTCCTCATGGCCCTGGTCAGCTGGGTGGTGGACTTCTGCATCGCCATCTGCCTACAAGGTAAGCAAGCAAGGGACTGCATTTTTCACCTGTGGGTTTGAGAATTGGAGTGCCAATAGTAACACAAGCAAGTAATGTACAGACTGTTTTATATTGGGATTAGAGTGGGAAGAGAGAGAAGTTAGTGGGAAGGGGGAGGTGGTAAAGGGGTGAGATGGCAGAGATGGGAAAATATATTGAGTCTATATTTTCAGATAACACTTTTACCCATGTGTACAAACATGAAGTGTAAACGAAGGGAAAATAAGAATTTGAACTAGCGTGATATAAGGAATTAGTCAATTAAGTGCTTTAGAAATGGAGAAAATAAATTATTTCCATATGGCAAAAATAAAGCCTCGCTCAACTTATATTCTGGTGTAATTCTCCCATCCATTTTGTTTAATACCAAATTTTTCCCAAGGAAATGTAATCAGGAGAAAGACCTTTTAGATGTACCAGTGGTTGGGAAGATTTTAAATTCAGGATGGGTCCATTTGATAAATGCCTGGTAGAGAATGGCAATAAATGGTACTTAATGGGCTGAAGATAATGGGGGGGAAAAAAGCTTTAAAACACCCGATGACTTGGTGCTGGACCTTCTTCCAGTTGGACAGCAAGTTTTGCTTAATTAACAGCATAACTTGCAGAACTGTTTGGTGGAAGCTGTGGGAGTTCTAGGTGGTTCTGCAAGTAAATCAGGCCGTAATCAGCAGCCTCTCCAGTGAGTCTTTTATCCTGTTATTTGAGATCAGCTCCACCACATTAGAGAGCAGTTGTCAATTTAGTCTTTGTAGCTCTAAACCTTTGTGGAGTTTATGCAGCAGAACTGCAGTCGGCATTTAAAGCAGAACAAGGACATCTCCAACCAGCTGTAGACCACAACAGTGGACTGCAAGACAACAGACTTTTTGGAGAGGCAGCTCAAGGACCGCCGAAACGGTGACCTGGTTATTCCTGCAAGGAAATGGAAAAACACAACAGGAAGGGCTAGAAAAATCAAAATAAGAGTATATTATTTTTTTAATGTGACAGGGTTCTGCTTTATATATGGTAAATGGTCTGTATTTGTATAGCACTTTACTTGGTCCTAAGGACCCCAAAGCGCTTTACACTATACACAATCATCCACACATTCACACACTGGTGATGGCAAGCTACAGTGTAGCCACAGCCGCCCTGGGGCGCACTGACAGAGGCGAGGCTGCCGGACACTGGCACCACCGGGCCCTCTGACCACCACCAGTAGGCAACGGGTGAAGTGTCTTGCCCAAGGACACAACGACCGAGACTGTCGGAGCCGGGGCTCGAACCGGCAACCTTCCAATTACAAGACGAACTCCCAACTCTTGAGCCAACTCTATAGATGGAGACAAATACAAGACATTAAGCTTTTTTTTCTTGTGATGAGTTTTGCAGAGTGAAACTCTTTCCAGAGCTTTATCGAGACATCTGCATAATGTGGTAATTAATTAGGAATGATTTTATTGATCTGTCCCTACAGGACCTTGTAAACAGAAAGATTTTACTGAGGATTGAGCCCTGTTGGAAACGAATGCAGATGATAATAATGTGCAGCTTGTGATGTGTGAAACGTCTTTAGAGGAGTAAAACCAAGGAGGTGTAGCAGGCAAAAGTTTGGGGGTAAGAGAGAAGTGAGTAAAAAAAAAAAAAAGGAAGCCGAGAGAGTGGTGGAGGGATAACTGGGGATTCAAGGTTGATCAAAGGATGGCAGCAAGGATGAATGGAAGGCCTCTTATGACATCTATCATCAAACATGGAGGTAGATTTAGAAACAGAGAAAAAAGATGAAGAGGATGAGGGATTAATCACTAAGTAAACAGTACAGTCCAGGAAGAGGAAGGAAGACACTTTAAAACGATTGAAGAAAGTTGTGAGAGCTGACCAGAAACCTCACAGGACTGCGTCTAATTCAAATGGATTTCTCAAACGGTTTGTGTGTGTGTGGTGTGTGGTGTGTGCGTGTGCGTGTGTGTGTGTGTGTGTGTGTGTGTGTGTTACGCTCTCAAGAGGATGCTAACCTAGTCTTGTCAATTCCAGTTATGCTGTACAGTTCTCGTAATTGGATCCAGAACATGACTAACTACCTGTCCTGTGCAGAGAAAAACCACACAGTTACACATCTTTCATGTCTTTAAAAATATTTATACAGCCGCTCTCCTGGTTGTGCTTTGACTGTGGGCTTGTGTGTGTGTTCATCAGTTTGTTCTTGTGAAGTTTTATCTTTGACTGTATTCGAAATGAACACATTGTTTCCTGTGGAGTGTGTCTGCGATGCTGTATTCAGTGGATGGTGGCTTTACACGTCTGTCCTGGTTTGTGTCCACAGCACAGAAGTGGATGTATGGTGGTCTGGACAGTAATGTGTTCCTGCAGTACCTGGCCTGGGTCACCTACCCCGTTGTCCTCATCACCTTTTCCGCAGGCTTCACTCAGATCCTTGCTCCACAGGCTGTTGGTATGATACGTATAAAATAATACTGGTTTGCTAACCACTTGCATTCCAATTTAGACCTTGTGAGTGAGTAACAGGGCCAAAAATAAACACCAGCATGGATTTTAAATCAAACAGTCAATGTGGCTGAAGTGCAGACTATAAGATTTAAATCAAGGGAGTGAATGTATTGCATTCATTTTTATAAACAGTCCTCCATTGTTTAGAATGTCAAACGTAATTGAGCAAGTGAGTATCAAAGACTTTCATTGCCAGGTGAGGCCTGTTCACTTGTTATTCCATGACAAAAGATCCAGGGTGTTAAACCTGTGTTTTGAAGCTGTTCACTGGAACTCCGAATATGAGATACAAAGAAATGTTGATGCAAGTGAAGGCTATCACTAGGGTGAAAAACCAAAACGTGAGATGGAACTATTTTAGTCCACATGTGGGTCAAATCTGAACTAGAATGACATAGTGATTGACAACAAATGCTAGAAATTTAATGATAGCGACACAATATCACCAGTGGTTTTACTAAAAAAACATTCCTTCAAAACACAGTGTACTACCCCTACTACATAAATAATAGTATAAGCATGTTGTGATTTGATAGACTGAACATTATTGACTGTTGCTAACATAATAGTCTGATAATAATGGTCAGGCTATAATTGGCACCCAAGTTCATACAAGATGGTGAGATCTTTTTTTGTGTGAGGTAGAAAAAAACAGAGATGTGATGTCATGCACTGATCAGAATTTATTGGATCAAAAGCTTGTTCATCTTAATTAATATGATTATTAAATTCTTATCAAATAGTTGGATTTCTTCTTAGAGATTTAGTTGTGAATGATAACAGCTGGAAAAATGATGTTCGATTTAAAACAATCAGCT